ATTGCATTAGCTCAGTTAGTGCTACGGTTGCAGAGCAAAGTGTTGTGTTGGAGCATCTTAGTTATTTATTGTCAAGTGCAGTATCTGTATTTGTAGGCATATATGGTAGCCATGTTTTCCTACAGCTTATTTGCAGGTGTATTGGCAATTGATATTCTGCAGCCAGGCACTCAGCTTCCTTACAATATGTGTAACTTTTAAAATATTTAAAAAATGAACATAGGAGTACAATTACAGAGTGAGAACAAGAGGATAATCCCATTATAAGGTGCCTTTTATACGCTTGCTTATAAGGACCGCGTTCCATGGCCCCATGGATCAGTCAGCTTCCCGTGTGCTAAAAAATGACTGATTCCTTGTCAGGTCAATCGTCATCACTTCCTGCATGCTTCACATGTGCAGTCTGTACAGGAATGCCGCTGAAGTGATGTCGCTAGTGCTTTCTGCATCTATTGCCCATATGCAGCATTCAGGAAGTTACGTCAACAACAACCAGGAACATAGGGAGCGGCAACAATCAGCAACCTGTGGGAAGTGATGTCAGTGGCCAACACCGGTGGCCATTTTTCCACNTTTTTTTATAATGAGGGGCTGGAGACATTGGACCCAGGTGAGCTGCAGTCCTCAAGGCACTTAAGGATTGTTGTAATGGACTGTGTGGAAGACCATTAAAATTACGCTGCATTAATGTGTAGATGAAACTCGCTGCCTGTAAGACGTGACCTGTCAAAACGATCCTGTTTTTACACAAAGCTAACAGCTTCTGACACTGTTAAATATACATTGTGTAATGTGTTTTTTCCTGATTACAAGTAGATAAACTGTATACCCGTGGCAGTGAGAAAATGCATGGGCTTTATACAAAGTTAAAGATTGTACTAATAAACTTAAGTTTGATAGTTTACACTAACACTTTCCATTGGCATACTTTTGAAAAAGCATGCCAGAGATTTCAGTCCAATTTTGTAACCATTTATCCATTGAAACTTTTATGTTTTAAGCAGTCATTTTATAAAATAAACAGGTACAATGATGCTTTTGTCTTAACCAATACTTGATTTTCACATTTAATGGGATTTGTTTTTGGAAGGGAGAGTACAGAGAACATGTATTGTCGCTTAATAATAATAATAATAATCCTTGCATTTGATATAGCGCGTTTCACGTCTTCTAGACGTCTCAAAGCGCTTCACAGAATAGACTGTAAAATGAATTGACTGTATATTTGTGGGCGAAATGCGGCAGCCAATTGCGCACAGCAGTGTCCCACGCACAGTCGTGGATTGAAGCGACCGATTTTTTTTTCTCTCTCGAGGTATTATTATCAGGTGTGTGGAGTAAGGAAACTTGCCCAAGGTTTCACCCTGCCGGGAATTGAACCCAGGTCTCTTGCTTGCGAGGCAAGTGATCTAACCACTGAGCTACGGGATTCCACTCTTAAAAGCAAATTCAGGGAGAAATATGGTACAATGGCCATGTTTCTTGCATTCAAATGTTTAACTTGAAAAGCAGTGCACTGCGATGCATCGTTCTGGGGTACCGGCATGTTTATATGGCCAGGAAAATGTCCTCGTTTTCAAGTGCACAGGATGCAGCTGGACACTTACAGGTTGGGTAACTCTCAGAGCACTTGAGTTTGTTCAATTAGGTACTTTGTGGCCACACAGTCTTCATCCAGTGCTGGCCAGTATTAACACCTTCCGCTGTTAGGCAGCCAGTTTGCACCTCACCTGGTTGAGCACCAAATCAGTTAGAAGACATGGAACCAATCTGTTCACGCCTGCTTCAGCGGAGGGATTAGGTAGTTGATGCATAACCAGCAGGGGGCAGCAGAGGAAGTGGACTGGATCACACAACTAAGCACTCAGCAGCATAACATCTGGGGAAGTGTAGGGTTAAGATGATCTTTAACAGACGACAGACACAGCCTTTCGAATATAGAGATCATTCTTTCATTCTAACAGCTGTTCTTACTCTGTTTTGATGAGGTGTTTAATTGTAAATGAAATAATAAACCTTGCATTTAATATAGCGCCTTGTTGCGTAGTTTAGAACGTCTCAAAGCACAGGATTCACTATAAAGTGTAGTGACTGTGTATTTTGTAGGCAAGCAAATTAGCGCACAGCGATATCTCGCCAACAGCCATGAAGTAAATGGCCAATTTTTTCTGGAGGATTGTCACCATGGATATTGGGAAAAACTATTTTATTTTCAAGTTGATACAGATCAACCATGATCTAATAGAATGGTGGAACAGACTCAGGGGGCTGAATGGCTTACTCCTGTTTCTATGTAAGTTGTGACATGAGATCTTTAACATCCTACAGAACAGAAAGAATCTCAGTTTAATGTCTCATGTGGATCACACCTCTAATACTATATCACTCCCACAGCACTGTACCGGAGTGTCAACTCTGACGATGAGCTCAAAGTCCCAGAGTAGTGCTTGAAGCCGCAGCCTTCTCACAAATAGACAAGAGTGCTAACAACTGAACCAGGCTGACACCTGGCAATTCAAATTAAATTTGAATTAAATAGTGTAACTATAAACAGCTTAATCTGCTTGATTTGATAGGTGCTAACATAAAATCTTTTCATTTCATATGTATTCAGCTCAGTGAACTATTTGCTTTCAGTTTTAATATTTACCTTAGAAAATCATTATTTGGGGATTTACTTTTTTGGGGTTGATTGAGGGAAGTGGAGTGCGAGTAAGTATACACAACAAAAATATGTTTTTAGTAGAATACAAATTTACAATTAATTAATTCACAATTAATTAATTCATGTCGGGAAGAGTCCCAGGTGCTTAACAATATTGGCTTGGCAGTTTACCATATTTCCTACAATTTTTTAAAAAGTATATTGTAAGGTTAGGTTTTTAGTTCCATGAGAGATTTCAAATCCAGCATAAAAGGTTCTTTCAAAGATTTTATTTAGGATCATTTGGTTTCTGTTTCTGAAACACACATCTTTTCCATTCCACGAGAAAGTTTCCATCAAAATACTGTCACGCTTTTAGGAGAGGTGTACCCTTTTTAAAACGACCGATAATATATTATAACGGCGGAGTTTGGCAAGTGAAACAGTGCATTCTTTGTTTGATTGGAAAAGTTCAAAGGTTCTGTTGTCTTTCAAGAAGGCGTGAGTTACCTCTGCTTGTCGTGCCTGGTAGACAAAATTCAATAAGATACATTGCAGTTTGTGTTTTAATATTTATTGATAAACCCATTGTCAGTGAGCGGTCCTCAGAGATTAAAGCAACATTTCAGTTTACAAGCGTGATAACTGTCTTCAGTTCAATTATGGGCAAATCAAGCTCCTGGATTTTCATCAGTTACAGAGGATTGGCCATGAGAAATTCAGGCTAATTCAGGCTTCGGAAAGCAGCGAAACAGAGTCCACAAGAAAGTAACTTGTTAGACTCATTAAAATGACTGCAAGTTGGACCTTGTTGAGAGTCACTCAGAGTAATTTAAATTGTGTTCTTATTGTTCAGCCATTTATAGATTGTGTCTGGTGATAGTGATACTTGGCTGTGAATATCACAAGCATCTATTCTATTATCGTAGGGAGCTGAATATCTGCACTATTTGGGGACCGACCCCATTGGCAGATGAGCAAGAATTGATCATCGTACGAAATAAAAATTGACTAGTGCTAATGAAAATATTTTTGCTTTTATACCACACTGTGCCAGCCCTTTTCTCTTTCTCTGACTCTTCCTATCGTTCTCCTTATTCTCTCTCACACACACACACATACACATGTTGAGTCTCCCATATTCTATCTCTCTGACTTTCTCTGACTGCACTGTTCAAAAGTGTAAGAACGAAAAGTAAAACCACTGGCAAAAAAAAATCCAATTTTGCTCATGTGTGAAGTTGTGTGTCAGTGGAAATGTTTAATATTATTTAATTATATAATTGCAATTTGTCGTTCTTGTTGTGTGCATGCACACATGGTTGCTAGGCTTCAAATTCCCTACACAAAGCAGGAAAAACATTCTCTAGTAAGCTTCAAATATAAAAACAGAAGTCGCTGGGAACACTCAGCAGGTCAGGCAGCATCTATGGAGAGAGGAAAGTGAGTTAACGTTTCAGGTCGATGACCTTTCCATCATTGACCTTTCCATTCATTGAATATGTGCAAATAGCCTTATCGATGGTATCTCACAGTCCCATGTTTATTTCTGCATCAAAACTAAATATGGATAATCAGACAATTGCAGATAGTTGCCTTGCAGATACACAGTTACACTGTGTATAATTTATTGTATACAGTAGATAGAGAAGGACAAAGATGAACAAAGACAAGGTGAGAGAGACTCAGAAAAAGAGAGAGAAGTGCTGGCACACTATAGTGACATGCAGTAATGTTGACCTTAGGAAAGACTTGATAGTGTGTAAGAAATACACCCTCCGATGAAATACATTAAAATCCAGTAAAATACAGGTTTATTGTTGTCTGGGTCACAATCTGCCTATGAAGTCAGAAGGCAGTTGCACAGCAGTGCTTCAGATCATAGGGAGGCAAGAGAGTCGACCTCCAGCATCAGCTGGTAGACTGCTGAGGAGAAACTGAGCTCGTAAAAGAATCCTGAATATATAACATTAAATCCATAACCATGTTCGTGTTTTCAATGGAGCTCATGTCATCGGATTTTGCTAAAAAGCAGCTGTGGCGTAACCATTTTCTTTCAGTTAATGTCCCAAACTTTAGCCACTTTGTGTCGAATAGTAAAATACTGAACTTATTGAAAGTCCTGCGCCCCTTACTTTGACATATGGACGTTTATATTTATTAACCTGGATAATGTATTTTATTTTGGCTCCAGCCGTATATTAATTTCTTATAAAGGCGAAATAGTTTTTTTTAAATAAAAGCTTCAAGGGCTTATGCCAAATGTTTTCTGGGATTGCTTCTTACTATATCAAAGTAACTGTATTCCTGTTTTTTATGTTGAAACTGAACATCTGCTTCTTGTCTTGTTTTTCAGCTGAATACGCTGCTCCTCGAGCTATTCTGACAGGCCATGATTGCGAGATTAGCTGTGCTGCCGTGTGTGCAGAGCTTGGCCTAGTTATCAGCGGCTCCAAAGGTAGGTACAATCAGAAAATGTCAGGCACTGAAAAATCACAGCTCGTCAGATAAAAATGGATCAGTTTACTATCTTTTGGGGCAGACAAGCCATTCTACCCTTTCCCTCGTTCCTGAGGTTACATTGAGTTCTTTCCCTCTTCTTACCTCAGTCTTGTTCACCATCTATTGTTCTGCAAGTAACCCGATTTAAGTAACAGTCAAAAGCCAGACCAAAACAGATGAACTCCGTCATCTTCTTTTCTGCTCACTGTCTCCCGACTCGTGGCCTCACCATGTGGGCACTGGTAGATATGAACCCATCTCCTACCACCTCATGTGCAATGGTGGACAGATGCACTGCATCGTCAAGCTAGCAACTTTGTACTTTGAAGTTAAAGGATACAGTAGGGTACATCAACAAGTTAGTGCTCTGATACAGAGTTCTTCACCGACAAAATTCCCCATATGATGAATTCATAATCTCTCTCCCATGCTGTTGGTGGGAGTGCGTGTGTGGGTGGGTGGATGGGGGGGAGGAGACGAGACACTGAAAGAAGACTGGAGTGGCTTTGGAAGAGACCTGAAAGCATATGTTTTTCTTGCATATTAGTTGGTGTATGGCAAGCGAGGGAAACTAAGAAGATAGCGAAGAATATAAGTAGGTGGGAATTTGTCCAGCACCAATATTAGGGGGAAAATAAATTGTTTGCAGTTATTCAGGCTTGGCTACAGACTCTGTCAGAATAGCTGGACCTACAATAGGTTTGGGTCGATCCTATCTCTGTTACTGAACAGATGGGAACAATCTTCCTTTAGACTGCATTCCCCAATTGAATTTCACACTAAATGGAAGTAATTCTATAAATGGTTTATGATCATTGCTGAATTAGGTCTTTATGAAATATGTGCATGCTGCTCTGATATTTTACAGACAGGTGGATTGAAGTGGACATGTAGCCAGCTTGTTCCTCACACAATAAGTTTCTGATAAAGCTTTTTAGTGGCAGCTAGTCACTTTCTCACAGATAAGTTGCTTTCGGATCTCCTTAAGGCGGGATGTTGAGCAGGATTGGCAGAGGATGGTAACTGGTGACTGGCCTGCTGTCTCAGCAAAGAATGGTACAGGGAGAAAACAGGCCCTTCTGGAGATGGAAGAGAATCACTAAAGTAATAAGCCAAATGGAATGTCAAACTAGCCGTAACATAGTGAGGCTGTCAGTTAACACGAAGGGCTCAAATCATTTTGGTCCTGTTTTGTATCATTGTGAAGTAACTAATGGAAGGGTTATTGGGTCTGAAAGCCCCAGCACGCACTCCTGCTTACGGTAAATGCCTGCACTGCTTGCGATTTCCTGTGAAAACAGAGACCTTTTTTTAATGAACTCTACCTACTGCTGATTTGCTGCAGAAATTTTTTATTACCATTTCCCAGAGGCTTTAAAACATTTTGCTATAAAAGAATAACCAGATGTCCAACCCAAACAAAACTCTAATTAATTGTTTCCATAGCAGCCAGCATTGTATAACATTTCCAAAGCTACCATTGTGTGTAAAAATGACCATGATTGGAGGTAACCTGATATTCAATGTATCATATAAAGGGTATGGTAACACAGGTAGGTTCAGGCAATATGTTGATACAGTTAAGTAATGCTACCGCAACACATTCTAATGCCTGCACCTCCAGTGTTGACTCTCTCTGAATACTTTAATAGAAATAAACTCCAGGATGGCACTCTCTGACTGCTGGAAGAAGTTGCTTGCGTAGTGATTGCAAAATTACAGTGTGATCTTATACCGATTTTATTTAACACACTGCTGGTCTGGACTGCCCAGTCTGCGATTATTTGTGGAAACAGGTCTATTGTGACTCACTCGCTTAGAAATAACACTAATATGCTTTTTTATTTGTCTCTGATGATTTATAGAGGGTCCGTGCTTGATCCACACAATGAATGGAGACTTACTAAAAGCTCTTGAGAGGACTCAAGATTGCTTACACCCTCGATTAATCCAGTTGTCGACCGAAGGCCACTGTGTCATTTATTATGAAAAGGGCCAGTTTTGTGTCTTCAGTGTCAATGGGAAACTGCTAGTCAAGATGGAGACCGAGGATTCTACAAAGGTAAGCGCACTGTTACATGTATACAACAACAACAACACAACAAAATTACATTTATAGAGCACCTTTCGTGTCAGGAGGACGTCCCAAGGTGCTGGACAGTCAGGAATCAGGACCCGAGCATGGGGGAGGGGTGGGGTAAGGGTGAGAGAAGGCAGAGGGTGGGAGGGTGATCGAAGAGTAAAATTTTAAAATTAAAGTAAAATTAAGATTTGGGTCTTCAGACCGTCCTTGAAGGAGGCAAGGGAGGAAGCGAGGTGAAGAGACTGGGATGGAGTTCCAGAGTGTGGGGGCAGAGAGGCTGAAAGTCTGGCTACCAATGGTAGGGCGGGTCGGGTGAGAGACATGGAGCAGACCGGAGCCCGATGAACAGAGGGAACGGGCAGGTTGGTAGGGAGTCAGCAGGTCAGAAAGGTAGGAAGGGGCAAGGCCATGGTTGTCCTTGAAAGTGAGGATGAGGATCTGGAATTCGATCCTCTGAGGGATGGGGAGCCAGTGGAGTCGGGCGAGGGTGGGAGCGATGGGGTCACGGAGCCTGGTAGGCGAGAGTACACGAGGTGCAGAGTTTTGGATGACCTGCAGTTTGTGAAGGGAAGAGTTGGGAAGGCCGATGAGGAGGGAGTTTCCACAATCGAGCCTTGATGTGACGAATGTGTGGGTGAGGGTTTCGGCAGCCTGAGGGGTGAGGCAGTGGCGAAGTCTGGCAATGTTGCGGAGGTGGTGGTAGGCTGTGCCAGTCATGGCGTGGGTGTGGGGAAGAAAGGACAGTTCAGGATCAAACAAGACACCCAGGTTCCTGACTGGCTCAGTGAGGTTGAGTTTGCAGCCTTGGAGGCTGATGCTGCCAGTGCCCGAGGTGCGGAGGCACTGGCGCGAGCCAATCAGGAGGGTCTCGGTCTTGCTGACGTTGAGTTGGAAAAAGTTGTCCCTCGTCCAGGACTTGATGTTGGACAGGCAGCTGGTCAGGACGCCTGCAGTCCTGGAGTTCAGGGTGGAGGCAGAGAGATAGAGTTGAGTGTCATCCGCATACATGTGGAAATTTTCCCCACGTCTGCGGATGATGTCACCAAGGGGGAGCATGTAGAGGGTGAAGAGGAGGGGACCGAGGACAGAGCCCTGAGGAACACCCCACGAGACAGTGCGGGGGCTGGAGGAGAAGTCGTTTGTAGAGACGAAGCGGAGGTGGTGTGAAAAGTAGGACCTGAACCAGTCAAGGATATAATGCTTGGAGAACAAACAGCATGGTTCAGTCCAATGTTATTTGTGCGATTAATACTGATAAAATAATGAACCATTTATTTTCAATCTGACAGTAAAAGTATTATTGGTATTGCAATGGAATGGAGATAATGGCCCATTTCAATCCACTCTGCTAATAATACGCTGATTCCAAAAAGATTTGTACACAAACAAAGTTCAATTTGATTTTAAATCTGACTGATGTACAAAAATACATGAATCAGTGGCTGGTAGCATGCACATGTAATGGAAAGATCCAATTGCAAGTGCATCCACAAAACAAGTCTGGTAAATTTACTGAATAGAGGAAAATAACTGTTTTCAATTCCCTTATAAGTTAACATCTGAGCAGCTCACAGAGATCACATATGTAATAATAATAACAATAATCCTTGCATTTGATATAGCCCTTATCACATCTTCAAGATGACTCAATGTGCTTCACAGATTTGACTGTAAAGTGAATTGACTGTATATTTTGTGGGAAAAATGTGGCAGCACACAGCAGTGCCCCACAAACAGTCCCAATTAATAGCATGTTGATCACACAACCGCTCACCAGCAACATTTATGTAGTGTGCTGTAGCGATATGGACCTGTCCTCTCCCTCCGCTCAACGGGCTCCACCCTGCCCACCCCCCACCATCGTCGGTCAGGCCTTCAGCCTCTCTGACCCCACCCTTTGGAACCCCATCCCATACTCCCTTGGTAAGGTTTTTTGGGTCAGATATCCTACTAAGAGACCAGGCAGCATGAATAGGCCTGTTGAATGGGGTGGGTGCATTGAGTAGCTGAAACCCACTTACTTTGTAGATTATGTTGTTTGACTTTGAGATAAGAGCTACTGCTTAAGATGAAACCATCTGGTTGTCTGCGTTGTCAGATAACTTGTCTTTGATAAATTTGTTGAATGACATGGTTCCGAAAGACTAACCGTGACAATATGTACAATTTTAGATCTAAATCCAGGAACAAAATGAAGTTCATGTACAATAATGATGCGAGAAGGCTATTTACCTTAGTGGCTCCAATACTGCTATATTTCACTAATACCAAATTTATAAGGTTAGAAGAATCTCTTCCCCACATCACAAACAGAATGGCAACAGGCTTCCTGATCAAATAGTCATTTCTAGGTCAACTGATTCCTTTAAGAGGGAGCTGGAAAATATCTGTATACAGAGAGTAGCAGCTCTTAATTACCATAGAAATTAGTGCAGGAATTTCAGAACCATTAATCAGACATGATGGTGTGATTATATATAAATTGTGGAGTGAATGGGCTTGATGGGCCAGATGGTATTTTCAGATTCCAGGTTTGCTTAAGTTTTTTATTTTTTTAGATTCATTCTTTGAGGGTCACTAAACTCCAAAAGTATGAGTTGAGGAGATAACCATTATTGTGGTCTTCAGTGTTTCTAAGTATCGTCTGATGGATGAATTTACCTGAGGAAAGGGAGGGACAATTATTTGTGCAAACGCAAGGATTATAGATTATTCTTAGACCAAATTTTGTGGCCCCACTAAGATCTGCTGAAACTCAATATGTATGTGAATTGAGCATGTAGCAGCGTTATTTCCTGGAGCAGGAGGCACATATGGAAGTAGCCTTACACTACTGTCCACTGGTCACAAATTATCGTAAAGCAGCGTTTAGTGACTGTTCCCTACATGTGATCAAGGGACTCAAGCAGCTGAGAATTTGAATGGATGTCATACCAAGGGCTGTTGCCACGTGCCTCGGTTGAGTATGTTTTCACTGCCCTCAGCAAGAGTGTCATATGGTACATTAAAGAAGAGCCAGGAGTGCAAGGTGTTTACTCTCGGGAGGTTAGATTCACCCTGCTCAGCTTGTATTTCCTGTCAGTTAATGGATGGCAGTTAAAGAGAGACGTGGTACAGAGTGAGCGGTAACTCCTGGGAATGGCAATGGGGAACACACAACTGAATACAAATATATATTTTTAAATTGCACACATTTTATTGGTACCTCTGTCTGCCTTTAAGTATATTTAAAGCTTCCTGGATCTTGCTCCTGGATAGTCTGGCTCAATGTGCAGATGTGCCATTGGAGTAAGCCCTGTTGGGAGTTCAATATATCCAACCAGAGCTTCAGTGTTTTATTACACTTCCAGGCTGAACACACCAGTGTGATTAAAGAGCATTTGAAATGAATAATAATTGCCTGCAGTCTGCAAGTGACATTCCTGGTGGTAATTGAAAACTAAATGTTGCAGAGCAATGCAGAAATCCTTTGGGTACCAGGGTATGCAAGAAAGTTCTTTGAGGTGCCTTTCAGATGTCGTGCATGCCAGAATGCCGACAACTGCAATCATTTTCTATTCCCAAGCAAAAGGCACAATTCAAATGTACTTTCATCTTTCATGACAAAGAAAAATTACAGCCACACTTTCATCCTGTCTGGGAATTGTGCGCTGTTTATTCAGGGCTGTGCACCTGTTTTGATTTGAATTTTTCCCCTAAAATGGTGGCAGTGCTCTACTTTCCCTTGTTTCATGTCGTACCACCTGCTTCTGGACAAGTTGCTCATATTAAGAGCTAAAACATCAGCACTGAAATCAGTCTTCTTTATCGTACCATTGCTATACATAAATTAGCTCCGTACAAAATACAGTCACTATACTCTCGTGACTCCATGAAATCTATCTAAGACGTCCACCTGTTTTGAAAGGTGCTATATCAACTGCAAGGAGTATTATTAGCTCTGTTTTGGGATTCTTAACTTTTAACTTTGTTTCTAACATTGCATGATTTGCAGTTTCTGATCTTTCTAACTATTTTCTATTTGACTAATTTCTCCCTCAAACATTTTCACCTGCTCTTTCCTGAGCTCATTTCACTCCTTTTTCAAGGCATTTAACTCTTTGTAAAGGTACTGATGGCCATCGCGAAACCCTGGGTGCCTTTCAGTACTTTCCTTCAATGTGTTAGATCAATGTACAGAGCCAGAAAACACAGCTGTGCCTGATCTGACCAGTCCCAATGTAAAACAATGTGATGGGATTTGTGGCTTTTAATTATGTGTTTTGATATGATAATTATCATTAAGCAGTGTTGCAAACGATGCCAAAGCCATTTCGATTGGCAGTCAGTCGCACACATTCACCACCTGCTGTTTAAAGTTCTTTTAACCGGCACTGTTATTCATGTGCAAGTTTTGACATTGACTGGAACGGGACTATTTGACTGCAGGGGCACCAATAGAGCCGAGGCCATTCCTATCTTTACCCCAAGTGTGCACACATGCACCATGGAACAAAGTCTTCGGCTAGCAATCATCCAGGACAGTGGCCAATTTTATCCTGAATGCGCCCTGTCGGAGATAAACTAACTCAGTACAGACCAAAATTTGAACTTTGTCCCCTCCAAGATTTATGGACCCACCCCACAGGAGTGTGAAAAAAAAGATGTCTGACACCTTCAGGGCAAAAAGAGAGGAATGTAGCGAGGGGAAAAACATAACAGTTTAACGATATTCAGAGAGACATGTATTTCACACCCAACAATTGTCCAAATGTTATGTTTGGATCACATCCATGCATTTCAGTAAGATTCCTGACACAGGAATTCCACGCAATAGGACCAAATGGAAAATAAGTGTTTGGAATTTGATTCTTGCATTTGTTAAACAGTTGATAGATTTGTGTTGAAAACCAGTAAATTACACCAGAATATTGAACTTATTTCAGACAGGTTTCAGGAACTGACAGAAATCAATGTCGGTTTGTTTTGAATGTGATAACAGAAAAGCATTCATTAAGTGCAGTTGTTTAATTGACTTATAAAACATTAAGTATTTTGATAATGTCCTGCTATTATCACTGTAGTTTATTGATGTTTTGCTAATGCTTCTGTTATTCTTATTTCAGTAATATAATCGTATTGTAACATTTCAATATCCATTCATGAAGGAGCTTTAAACAATGCCATCTCACTGCCTTTTTCACTCCTGCTCAGAAATGTAATGGGGTTAATTGGAAAGAATTTCTGTTGCTATAAAGCAATTTAGTCCCTGTAGCATTCTAGCACATCTCTGCATTCAGGAGAGAGAAAGGAGATGGGGGAGGCCAGAGAGGGGGGAATTAGGATGGGTGCAGGTTCATGTGTATAGTATAAACACTTACATGGATTAGTTGGGCTGAATGGCCTGTTTTTGGTGCTGTAGATTCTATGTATATAATATATGTGTATAATTCTATTGTAATTCTGGGTTCACTTGATGTATGTTTGAAGAAGGTTCGAAAATGAGATCCTTAAAAAAAACTCCTTTTTTTATATCATCATCTTCACATTTTAGGCAAATGGCTCAGAAACACTTAATCTTCTCTGGGAGTGTAATCGGCCTCTTCATGAGACTATCTAACTCTGACAGTGTTTATACATTCTGTATTAAACAGCACAGCACTGGCATTTTCCATGTCGGCTATTGGAGAGCGACGTAAGAATGAAGTAACTTTTCAAAGGATTCAGGGCTTCACCATTCTTGTCATGAAATGATTACAAATAACACTATCAGCATTGGGGTTAGCAAAGCCCATGGATAACCGAGGAATGTTTCATCTCAAGCACTTGTATCTGTACTGGCCTTTGATATACTAACCAGTAGAACTGAAATTGACATATTTTCTTAAAATAAATATGTAAGGCACGGATAGTGTACTTAATGATTTACCATTATGACAAACTGGCATATTAGGAAAAATAAAACTGTCAGCTTTCAGTTAGAAGTGAGAATGTTGTGTCCTGATGAAAATGCTGGGTGATACTTTTAATATATAGCACTGTTTAAAATGACCAGCTGCTGAGACACAGCCAAACATGGGAGGTATCTGAGGGACTTATTGCGGTGAGCTTGGCTGTAACATGCATTGTTCTTGTCCAGGCTATGCTGCTGAGCCGTGATGGACAGTACCTCATCACTGGGGGAGACAGTGGAATAGTGGCTGTGTGGCAGGTCTGGGACTTCAAACAGCTGATGACCTACCCTGGCTGTGACGCTGGCATTAGATCCATGGCCATGTCTCACGATCAAAGGTAAGATGTTTGAGAGTGGATTCAATGTAAGCTATGCTCCCCTCCCCCTCCAAAAGAAAATGCAAACTGTCTTTCCAGCAATCTATTCGGCTTTAATGCTTGTGAGTTGATTTTTTTTTCAAAATCAATATTGTAGATTAAAAATGTTGTAGATCCAGTTCATAACAATCGTGGATGGCCAAGGCTGCCCAGTTCACATGATGGTTAGCTTGTATCCCCACAAGTGTAAAAGCTGCTTGTTTTATTTTCCCTGAGCGCTACAGCCAAGAAGGCAAAACTCTTATCTGTACCCTGAAGTGGACAAAGGGTGTCAAGCCTGTGAATATTCTCTATCCCCTCCCCTGGGGAACCATCGGCTGTGTATGTGGTTCCCCACAGCCACACGGCTGAGATTGTAGCTGGCCAGCACGGCTCCTGCTCTCTGGCACTGTGCGCTGGCTCCCTGACGTGCTGTGTTGCGCTGCTATACGACAGTCACGTTTGCCTGCCTTCAGGATTCTTTCCATTTAGTAGCCCAGTTGCAAGGTTATAGATCATGGCCAATAACCACAAACGGCCTATTTTCAGGAAAACCGACAGAGGTTCAGAGAAGCTCTGAATGTTTCCAAGCTGTGACTCCCATCCCCCAATTTTTACATTGATTTCAACATTCTGTTCGAATTAAGCTTTCCCCTGAAAAACTGCACCAAAACTCTTTTGATTTTTTTTCAAAGATATTATGTTTTAAGGTTCTGTACTCTGGCCAGCACAAATCACTGCTGTTTACATTAATGCTACTCAACCATTAAGCCATGGCTGCAGGCAGCAATGTACCCGGCCCCCACAACGAAAGAGATTATCTGAAGGATATAGGTGTACATTGTGCTATTCGCATGGGAAGAATCTCTTTCTGCGGTCGGATACCTGCTGCCGAGGGTGTGATGAATGTGGCAGCTATTCAATTGTTTCACCGTTGTGGGGGGGCGAGATTGGATTTCAACTATGGCAGACTCTCAGTTCCTCTTCCTGACCTGCACAAATCGGGCTCTTAACAATAAAAATGAAAAACAGGAACCAGTGCGTACGCACCAATTCTCCTTACAACTAACTGTGGGTGCACTGAGGTTCTGTTTGCTGGTTTAGGAAAGAACACATATTTGACCCCACTGTCTTTCATGGAACATCACGAGGACAGGGTCATCAGGGAAAGTTTAAACTCATGCATTAAAATTTCAAAGGTTAGTCTTCAATTAACGCAGCAAATCCAACTATTACAGGATTAATTTACGATAATTTATCTCATTGTGTCGTAAAGTGTTAAGAAGTGTGTTTCAATAAAGATGGTGATGAGGACAGTGCCTTTTGTACAACGAGGAGCACAGCGATCACTAGTGTGTACTCTTGGCCATTTGTTGCAGTAAATTTGATGAATTTTATCAAACAGCAAAGCAAGAACACAAGGCAGCCTATATGACCACAAAATGGCGCATAATCTACAACAGATTTAGAGAACGGTTGAAAGTTTGAGATAACTATAGTAATCCTGAGAGAATGGTTTGACAGCAGAAAGAATATCAATATCTAATGCTCTGTGGTTTGGGGATTGGAGCATAGATCTGTTTGAACGTAAATTCTAAGAGATCTCAACAAAATTATGAAAGTTTACCTGCAACCGCCGTCATCCTGAGTGTCCACCTATGTTTTATATACATGACCTCTTCGCCACAAATAATCCTTGATATGTCTTGGAAGCAGCTATTTTGCTACTGCAACCCTGTAATTTTAATTCTACAAATACCATATAATCAGTCTTCCTCAATCATGCTGTACATTCCATAAAACAAACATGCCCTTATTAGCAAACTGCTAGACATAAAAAATGTGCCCATCATTTTTATAATATTTTGATAACTTTCCCTTTAAGGTCAATACCCTTTAAGGTATCATTTTGGTTAGAGAGTGGGAATTAAATCTGACAATTGCTCTTAAATCTGTTATTGTTGTTCCTCATATCATTTTAGTAATTTTATAAAGCAGAAGTTTGCAGAGACACAGGGATACCGTTTAACAAATCTATTCCTCTACTAAAAACGGTGCTGTCTTACTGAGAGTTTTTAAAACTTAATCCACACTGTGCTAGGCGGTGTCTGATTCAATGAAAACCTCCCCGATTGTATTGTGTGTGAATAACTGGTTGTTTCTTAACATAGGGTCGTCATTACGGGTATGGCATCTGGAAGCATAGTACTGTTTTACATTGATTTTAATCGATGGCATCATGAGTATCGAACCAGGTACTGAAAGTGCGCTCACGAGACAGAAATGCACTGCTTCGTGCTGGACCGGGGATTATCCCTCGAAGGAGCAAAGAGCCATCGCTGGTGCATTGGATTCAAGAGTTTTTAATCAACGTAGTCACACAGTCCCGCCACTGTACATAAAGGCATCGATCTACATGAAGAAGCAGCAAATCTGAATGTAACAAAGTCTCTTGGAAAGCAGAGTATTTTGAAATGCTTACTGCTATTTTTGTAGAATATAAGGAATTTGACATACCATTACTAAAACATCAGAACATATAAGACTAATTCAGAGATTAAAAAAAGTCTATTTTTAGGAGGAATAAATCTTTACATGATTCTTTATATGCGTCTCATTCACAAGAAATATACTAACTATTTCTTTATTTCCATCTCTGTATGAAGAAATGAGTGATTTGAAAGAATGTAAAACAAATTTAATCAGAGATGTTCATAAATTGTGTTAGAATTGAGCAATATATTTACACCTGTGATTTAATTCTTGCATTTACAGAGATCACATTTTAAAAAAAATGGTTTCTTTTTGGGGAGAAGGTTTGCACGTAGGGGTGTACAAATCTTTCTAAGGCATGATTCTTTACTGTATTTTTTCATTAATGTTATGGTAGCTTAGCACTGACATTGCTGGGAACAAAGAGCAATATTTAAATTATGACCTAGGATTTTTTAACTTTATAGCAGTCTATTGGAAATTATATTCTTGTCATTGGCATGCTGCTGGGCTGGAAAAGGGATCTTTGTTATATTAAATGTTCTTGGAGTTCAGGTAAACAGTGAATCAAAGCAGTGTAATAAGGTTTGTCCATTACAAATTGGTGTGTGTGTGTGTGTGCGTTTTCAGAGAATAATGTCCATGACTTTAATTTCAATAGCCTTTGTTAAAAGTGTTCGAAATTGCTCAACACTGTTGTGCTGAATTCCAATAACTCCTAGTAACTGTGAAACTCTGGGTTCTTGTCATTGCTTGTTATTCTGTGTCTGAAATCCCATGGTTGGGATGTTGTGATCAGCCTACAAAACCTTCAGAAACCAGATTGCTGAAAACATTCCATCTTGCTGAGAGAATGTTTGTTTGTCCAATTTAGATCCTATTGGTGCCTAGTGGTGCATTAGTAACCTGCCCGAGGGACCAAATTACTGTATTTCAAAACCTCACTCAGAAGAGCTTTTTTGGTGATGATTTGGAATGAAGTTATTCCAGTTTGTGTAATGAAATCAAAAATAAAATTCACTTGTATCTTGAGACTGGAAGGTGTTTTTTTTTGAGTGACGGTATTAAAACAATCAAACTTTTAAGATCTGCCTCTGTTTATTTAAATAGTATTAAATCAAACAAATCTCCGAGCGGCATTTCTAAACCGTTACTTTGCCTGCCTTGTGGATCATGTTTTCCCTTTCTGCAACACAACTCCAAGTCACCTGAGGCTATGCAACTGAAGACCCTCTGGTTTTGCAAAAGCCAAACTGGTTCTCATCTGGAGAAATAACGTCATCCTTAGCAAGAAGCTAATTCTATAACAAAAGAGTTGGACACGATAGGTTTTAGCTGATCGGACAGGCAGCGATTTATTTCACTTTTACTTCAAGAAAAGCAAATGCTGATGCTTTCAGGAATGAAACTTTAATCTTCTTGGCAGAGGATTGAAGGAATGTTTAGAAAATACAATTAATGAATGTATCCAATATTGTAACAGCACACGGAGCCGGTCCCATTGGCATTGAATTGATGGTCAGGCAATAACTTCCATTTGGATTTCTTTTGCAAAAGGAATTTCAAATACCACACATCATGCTTTATTAGTCATGGCTTATAAGCCTGTGCTCTCACATGTGCATGTGTGAAATGTCACATGTATGATTTTAAAGTTACCAGCAGCTGCGAGTAGCATATTACTGACATGAGGCCTCAATGTGAACGCAAGCATTTGCTTGAGATTTAAACGTGGTAAAAATACAATTTACTGGGGGGGTTGAAGGCAAAATGGGGGTTCATGATGCTAATGGTCCTGTGTGTGTGTGTAGATGTTATTTTTCTCTCTCTCTTTCTCTTGCCCTCTATCCCAGCCTAGTGGGTTCATAAGGCTTCTTAAGTAATATACCAAAGATAACTAACTGATGCTCACTGGATTAAATGCAAGTAGAAGAAAAAAAGTGACACATTTTCAAAAAAGTTACCAACACAATTGCAGCAACAACAACTTGCATATATGTTGTTATATAGTGCCCTTCCCTCAGGGTAGCGCCTCAGAGCGCTTAACAGTGGTGGAGCCCGACTCCGAGCCGGGAGAAGTGTGGAGGTGGCCGTAAGCATATTGATTATCCATAGAAAACAGTCATCAGAAATGTTAAGGAAGTATTCCATTGAAAAATTGTAAGTGTTGTAACCACAATCAGGAATACATCTTCACACTTCTATCCCTTCTAATGTAGAAGCAATTGTTATTGAGATTTAAAGGCTTTAGTCATTATGAAAGCAAAGCTCAGAACTTGAGCCATGATCTCCCCCCTATTCTGCCTCTTCTGTTTTACTTGGCTATGCAAAGCTTGGTCCAAATCAACAATCTCAGGCAGCGAGGCATAAGAATAGTTGCTGTGAGATGGGCAGCAGTCACAGTTGTGTCGTCAGTAAGGAGTGTTCTAAGGTTGGTGGATGCCCATTTTTGATTCAAGTAGCAACAACAACTTGCATTTATATGGCACCCCTCATGCAGGATAGCGCCCCAGAGCCCTTGACAGTGGCAGAGCATGAAGCCGAGCCAGGAGGAGGGGAGGGGTAACCGTAGGCACGGTCGAGGAGGAAGATCTTCTGGAGCGACTTGAAGATGGGGAAGGAGGGGTGGGTGCAAGGCGGAGGGATAGAGGAAAAGGGCTATTTATTGGGCTCTGCTGAACCTAACCTTCAAATCCTCGAATGACAATGGGGAAAAAGGTGTTCTATTTCCAGGATCAATATTCAAAGCAGTTTGATCTCTGTACAGTGTGGGAATCCAATGCTCTTGGTGATTCTCTGAGTGTTGTGTGTGCTGAAAGCTGACCTCTTTATCCCGGGTTGGTGTAATTTACTCATTGCTGTCCTCTGGTGGTTGTACTCAATCGCTGCACAATGCAATTAATTTCAATTGCTTTTAAAACTCAAAATTTATTTCAATGTTATTTTTTCCGTATCGAGATTCAGAAGTTTCACATCTCAGGGATTTCAACTAATTCTGAAGACTCGGAATTTTGAAGCTAATTTTGAAAAGCGTGCAAGAATTTTAATATTAATATTGAATTACTGTCAATAATTAATAATTAATGTATAGCTTTACAACTCCAGTGAATGTATTTTATTGTTGGTACTCTCGCCTCTAAAGGTTGTGGGTTCAAGCCCCACGTTAATACTTGAGTACACATTCCTGCATGACACACCAATACAGTGTTGTGGGGTGGAGCCCTACATTGTCGGGGATGCCATCCTTCAGATGAGATGACAAACTGAGGTCCTTCTGCCTGTTCAGATGGGAATTAAAGAGAAGCTGGTTTCTCTGGTGTCCTTACCAACAGTTCTCCAGATAAATTGATCATTCACCTTGTGGTTGTTTGTGGGTTCTTTGTAGTGCTCAAAATTGCTGCCGTACAATTTCCCTACAAATATATACTTGACAGCAATGACCTGTGAAGCACTAAGATGTTTTGACATTATCGGCACAATATCAAACACAAGGATTAATATTTTATGTCAGATGTATGTTGTGACCTTTGCCTTTTGCAACAAAACAGTAGGAATCTTTGATCCATAGAGATCATTTTGCCAGATTTAAATTAAAGGTAAAACCAGTTTCTAAACTGGCAGGCAGTCGGCTGGAATTTTCCCATCAATTACAGGCTTAAAATTTCCGCTGCTAAAATTCCTTTACACAGTTTAAATACAATACTAACATTGGATGATTGCTTCAATTCTATTTTTAAAAGAATGCTAATTTCCTTAACATCTCAGGTCAGATGAGCATAAATCAGCAGTCTAGAGAAATTGTGTGAAAAAACTACAGGAAATCCCCCACCTTATTTGGAGGTCATTAACTTTCCTCTTTTAATCTGTTTTTAACGATGTGCAAGCATTTGATTGACTCAGGAATCTAGGCATGGTGACTGCTAATTTAGTAATGTATTACCTTCCTCTCTCTACCTCTTTAAATGCCAATCTCAGACTGAACAGACACAGACAATCTGCTGGGAGATCTTTGCATAAAAAGCTTCATCAGAACTGGGAGGAAACATCGATTGCAACCTCTCCCTGCTCTAAGAGGAGGGAAGGAAATTGGGAACATTTTTCATAAGGACATTGGCAGTTGATCAGTATTGTTACGTTTTTGGGGCAATCAAGTATTCAGCACATGTGGAAACCCATCACTGTGCTTAAGAGTATCCAGATCACACATAGGAGACTGCAAGATGGGCTCCGATGTGTTATTAACTGAAGCTCCAGTTACACCTCGCTTGCATCCTCGCTTCCTGCCAATAAACATCTTGTCTTTGAGAGAAACAGGCCTTTCTGACTCCTCAATGACCGTGTGAGACCAATCATGGGATTTCCTGCTTACTCTGGACAAACACCTAAGATGTCTTCACTCCCCAATCCACCACCTCCGTTTGACTGGCACAGGCCTCCCGCTCATCCCTGACCACCCTCCACCCACCATCAGAGGTTGTGCTTTCAGCCACTAACCTCCGAAACTCTGGAGCACTCTCCCTCAATCCCTCCGCCTTGCCCCTCTCCCCTTTTTCAAGTCCCGCTTGAAAAGCTTCCTCTTCAACCATGCTTACGGCCACCTCCAGGACCCCCATGGCTCGGAGTCAGGCTCTGTCACTATTAAGCGCTCTGAGATGCTTCACTGCGTGGAGGGCGCTATATAAGCGCAAGTTGTTGTTGTAAGATGTTGCCCAGAGGAACATTATTGGGCAAACTCTCAGCAGATAAAAGAAAGGGCTGACTTAACAGAAATCTGAAGTGAAACCAGTAATATGGGAAAGGCTCTTGAAGCTCCATAATAATACTGGAGTCAGTGAGATATTGGTGTAGACAGAGGAAAGCTGCAGTCACTTCATCGGTCCCCATGGACTGGGTGTTGAGTCGGGACAAACCAGGCTTGACTGTTAAGCTGCATACTTAAACAGAAGCAGGCTGTAGGGGCTCCCTGTTGTGCTGATTTGCCAATCACAGAGCAAAGATCAAGCCGTCTTTAAAGCAACTGCCCTGAATTCTTGTTTTTAACGTTGACCTGCTAGTGTAGATATCTTGGTAACTTTCTCCACACATTGCCACTAGTTAGACTGGAAGCCCATCACTGGAGGAGAGACTTCAGTTTATGAGATCCACACAGCCTCTTGGCTCAACAACTATGGATTGTTCATCTGATTCCACGGCTGCTTGTAACATAATCCATAAAGGATGGAAAGAGTTGTGAGCCCCTCCCCACCCAACACATTCACACACACACACACACACGAAGAGAACCAGCAATCTGCCTTATTCTTAAAATGCTGTTTTTGATTCTCACTGATTAACTCCACCTTTCTGCTGAAACTTCCTGATGTCTTTCATAGTTGAATCTCCCTGTCTCATTTGTTCCCTGATGTAATCAGGCGCCTTGTGGCACTGCATCTTAATCTCATTCAAATAATGACAACTCTTGTTCATCAACTATAACCCGATCTGTATCCAAAGCAAATACAAAATATGGACCATATCTTCAATGTGTAAAATTTGTTTGCTGAAATAGGTATACATTTCAGAGATAATGAGAAATGTGGGTCAAGTGTAAATGAATCCAATCGCTGATGTTTGGTCATTCTCTGTACGGCTATTGAGGATAATTGATCTTTCTATATGTTAGTTACTGTTATACTGGGTTAGAGCAGATACAATAGTGGAAGAGGCTTCATTGGTAGACTGTTGATGCAGGAAGTGTTGATTCCTTCAAACACAGATTAGATAGTTTTCTTTTAGGAAATAACATTATGGAATATAGTACACAGGTAATATGTGAGGCAAAACAAGCAGTGCAGCAATAAGATTTTTTTAAAATCCTTCCGAGTTTCTGGTTATTAAAGTTACAATGTAAGACTTTAATTCAGATCATCTGTTATAACTATAGCTGCAGCCCTGTGGAGCCCCCAGTTACTCAATAGGGAGGGGGAGGAGTGCAACATAAATTTGCTTAACGTACTTCAGGGGAAAGAAAAGCAGCTACCAAAGACCCTGAGAA